TTGGTGCTCAAAATATAGTGAAAAAAGCTCTTTTGTTGATATAAGTTTTTGATAACATATAATGCAAAATGTTATTTTCTTCATGTTCTTTCCCATAATAACACTCTAATTAACAAGTTCTTCTACAAACCTTGTAGAGCCAAAATGTAATTTCTCATAGAATATGTCATTGTACAAATGCGATTAATAATGTTTGACAAATCCATAGCAAAATTTATTGATTATAATGATTTAAAAATGAGAAAAAAAAAAAAAGGAAAGTTGAAGTTGAATCCTCTAAATCCACCCAATTTCAAGAAGATCTCAAAAACCTTACTCCATAAAAAGTTCATCACGTATTACAATAATACCTTTAATTGTTTGCAGATGCAACCAAAGCCATTGAAGACACAACCTTGATAAAAGCTTTTACAGTTCCAATAGAAGTTGCCCTTTAAAAAATTAATAACTTGCTACACCAGAGTGATTAATTGTCTAACATTATAGCTAATACCCTACTTATAGCTACAGCACCAACAACTCTACAACAACTAAATCAATCAAATGTTGGTCTCTCAGCAACTGAAACGCTATGACTAGTTCACAAATCTATAATAGGCAAATAGATAGCAAGGTAATTTTTTTAAGAAAAATTTCACCAAAAGATTTAAAGCTGCTGTAACAAAAACCAAAATCAAGTTTGCAAATAGTTATATAGGCATAAAAAAAAATTTGCCTGCTTACTTTTATTTATCATTCTACTATCTCCAGTTAAATACTTCAAGTATATGTCATTTACTATTTTATATCTCCAATTAAATAGTTTGTCAGATATAGTAAACCCTAATGCATTGAGCAAAAATAAATCTCTCATGTTTGGTGTTGATGACATATTAACAACTCTTTTTTTAATGCATTTTAGAGTAGAAAGATAAACCTAACTCTGAACAAAAAATACACCTAATACTTCACCAAAAACATCTTAAGAAATTACTGCAAGTTTTTTTAGTTAAGGTACATATTAACACTTACCTCAGCTTATGAAACGATAAGATTATCAGCTTCGTTACTATTTTGAATAAAAGGAATTATCCCTTTTCATATAATTCCATTTATTAGTTGTTGTATTCCTCTTTTCCAACCCTTATATAGATCTTAGGTATTACTTTTCTCCAATTTAATGTCAAATTTTTATGCATTTTTTTTTGTTGATGACATAATCCAAAACCAAAGTTGGAATGATTTGATGGAACACCCAAAAATAGCAATTACTGATAACCTTTGCACATGCAGAAAACAACATCTTTACCTATCAAACATATGAAGGAAATCACCTCAATGATGTTTGCTGCTACCATCATGGTCATAATTTTTTTTAAAAAAATTTCTTTTAGGGTGTTTCATTTTGTTGTAGTGTTTTTTTTTTTTTTTGGTTACCTCCCTTTTGAGTACTTTGTAAATACTAAAAAGTATGTGCAAACCACCATGCCTTTGTTTTACATGTTAAAAGATGCAAAGTGTGTTCTAGAAAAAAATTTATATCATATTTACAATACTTGCTTACAAAAAAACAAGATGTTGCTAACATCCATTCTTGATTGAATTATTTTGCTTGCATAATTTTTAAAATATTCGCAAAAATGC